GGGAATAAAAATAGAAGGCACTCCAATCGGGTACGTTTATTTACTATATCTCGCGCGTTCTATGGACATGGAAAACGATTTGAAAGAAGAACTAAACAGGAGACGGAGAGCAGCTTGAGCCACTCTCGGGCCCCTAAAGCAAGCCACAGACCAGCTGAAGGATGTAGAGCTCCGAGCTCAAATATTCGATTCGACCGTTTTTCCTGCGCTCTCTTATGCAGCGAAGACATGGCCTGACACTGTGGCTACGTCGAAAGCTCTTCGAACAACCTACAAAGTGATGGAACGACGTCTTCTAAAGTAATCAACATCTGTCGGACTTCGCAATTCATATATGAGATCAATGTCTTGTCTTCGCGATCTAGCGGAATACCTCTCTAAGGAAAAGCATCGATGGGCTCTTATATAATGAAAGGACGGACGACAGATGGACACTAAGAACTCTGGAATGGATTTCTCACGAAGAAAAAGTCCTCGAGGTAGGCCACCGACCATGGACTGACGTGTTCGTTGCAGGGGTGGACCAGCTGAATTCTCAGCTGGTAACGAATAATGGATCTGGACCTCGCGAACATCGCCGCCGCAGTTCGATACCGACACCGTGGATGACGATAACGAGAGACAAGAACGGATGGTAACAATGTTGGGGCCGCATGACGTGTGAACACAGGCCAACTAAGTATCCAACAATAAGCAAGTAAGTACCTAGATACAATTCCTACATTGTTAAGCGTAGCGCTATAAATATTTTCTATTGCTCATTTTATAAGTATGGATGACTTCAACTTTTTCAAAATGTTCTTAAGTTGGTCTTAGTAACTCTGTGCACAGACTTTTTTTCGCTTGGCTTCTAATGCGACGGATTATGGAGGAAGGAAAAATGTTATCTATTAGGCTATATCCTATGTTATTGTTTGTCTATTCTCATATAAACTTGTATATGCGAGGTTACAACTATAACAAAGTTGGATTGGATAAAAAGAGGATCCATGTACAAGCGTTCAAAAGAATATTTAGTCCGCCTCTAGACTATTGAAGCAGCTTAAATTTAGTTGAATTAATCATAATTTAATTCGGCCTTCTAGGAGTATAACTTTAACTCTTAAAACTAACGCCTGATCAGGTTTCGATGTAACAGAAGTGAGTCCAGTGCTAAGAAGAGCCATTGAGGCCTTCAAAGTGCATCGTTATCAGCTTTCCTACACTAGAAGAAGGACTTTCGGTGAAAACACTCATAAAACTTCTATACAGCAGTTCCTCAATAATTTTGGGGTGAGGGTACTTAGGTGCCCGTTGCATGTGCCGCTGTAAGGATCACCTGTCAGGAGTCTCGCTGCTCATTAATTAGTACTGTAAGCGGACTCTGCGCTTACATGATTAGCCCCCTTATTTGAGCGAGGGCCATCTCTTGGGAAGGGGTCAACCTTCCGTGCTGGAATTGATTCGAGGACGTTCATTGTGAAAACTTAACCTAGATGAAAAATTCCATGAGGGGTTCTCGGAGCTGCTGATTACGAATATATCAATCATCTCCTACCTTTTTAGTGAAAAAAAAACGCTCATGTATTCGTGAATCCGAGTAATTCAAAACTGTACACTTTTTATAGAGGTTCGGAAAGCTTAATAATTCGCATCACTTTTTTAAGCTCAGTGAGACTATGGAGTTGAAAAGGCCACGAGTTATGAGGAGTAATCAAGGCAATTGATGTGTCTAAGAACTGAAGGATGCATTGTTGGAATTAATAATCATTATGATTTAGAAGTAAACTATAGAAGCATGTACGTCAAATAGCATTGAGTAGTGAAAGTCAAAAGATTATAGAGTATAATTCGTTATGATGGGATTTATGAAAGTTGCGCTGTTGTCAGCTGGATTCTCCATACGATTCTGAGCAGAATGATATATGGATGTTGAAGGTTTTGTTGACTAGGAGCCGAGATAAGTCACCAGAGCCAAATGCCCCATTGTCTCTGGTCGTTCTCTGCCGCTTCTCAAAATTGCACATTCTCTAGCAGCTAAAAGTCTTCCACACTGCATTCGGTTCTGGTACCCTTTTCTCCGTTCTTTGCAAATTAATGTAAGCAAATCGTACATCATTATGAAGGTCTTGAAACGTACATTTGAACAGACAACTGCGCATCATTCAAATTTTTGGTCTGAGTGAATGAAATAAGGAAAACGCTGTTTTTTGTTTCCTTCGATTTCTAAGTAATTCGAGTTAAGTCCGTTTTTCCACTCATTTGACAGGAAATCTTATCTACAATACAGCTGACAACTGCGCAACTTTCAGCTTAAATGTCCAGCGAATTATTTTAAAGGACATACCGAAAAACCAGTATCTTTTTTAATGATTTTCTGGAGATTTAATGATTTAATGCGGCGAAGCTGCAACCTATCCGTTCGCGACGTTGCGCTGTAGAATGCGGACAACTGCGCAACTTTCAGAATTTTGAGTTTGAGGAGAAAATTTAAAGGAAACATGCAAAGCCTTTTCTTTTGAAGTCGTTTTACCTGAATATAAGAGGAATGATTCTGCTTCCAGTCTCATTCTCAGTGCTTGACTTTATCGTTTGAAATCACTACCCCGTATCTCACGTGAACTCTCTCGTCATCACAAAAATCTCTTCAAATTTCTCCGCGATTTCCCTGTTTTCCTTCTTTTTTGTTGGGAGAAGAATATGCGCAATTAGCGTGCGATAGCTCAAGATTTAAATGGCCCTTCTAGGACTCGTGAATGGCCTCAAGCACGTTGAGTCGTGTGATTACTGTTCACAAGTCCAGTTTTATGTAAAAAACAACAAATCTAGCTCCTCAATTTGTTGGAGATGTAGGCACGAGAAGGAAGAGGAATGAAGAAAATGAATGAAAAAATCATGTCATTTTGCTACATTTTCCATTGATTACTATTGTCCGTTGCATTGTTTCGAAAAGAAGATGTGCTTATTCCCTCTTATCAGCTACCATAGTAGGTGAAAAACCACTTTCACTTTTTGCAAGGCTCCTGTGTTAAAATCACCATCACTTTTGTTGTCTTGTCTCTGGAGTGTCGAATCTATGGATACGTCCTCAAGCCGTGCAACCTTGGAACCTTGCTAAAACTGCTAAATATTGTCCAAATCAATTAAGCTTAGTGTCATATGACAGGAAAAATCTGCAAGATGACTAGATTAAGCACTGTGTAGTGATTAAACATGGTTTTGGATTTAAATCAGTTTTGAAAGCACTATAGATGTTCAAACGACTTACTTACAATATCAAGAAAAACCATAAACAAAGTTTGAAGTAGACAACAACGGTATCATCTAAAAAAGATTCTAATTTGCTTCAAAAAACAAAGCGTACAACTAGAACTTTAAGGTCTAATTTCAAAACTACGCCTTTTCATGGTCACTAGAAATAAAAATTTCCTCCCTCTATTGATCTTATAATTCTCAATCTTCAAACTTCTATTGTGTAAAAATGTCGATGTCCGAGGTTCCGCCCCCGTCCTTGACTTCCTCAAGTTTTCTTGGGTGAGGGTCCTACTCTTCCTTCGCTCATTAATGAAGGTGACCAAAGCCGTGGCTCTATGTATCTAACCTATGGGCGTATCCATAGGGTGACTGCGAGATAATGAGCGCACCACTGTAAGAATGTGCCTTGCAGGCACTGCGGCCTGCACCGATCACAGGTAACTAAGTTCCTCTCCCCATAAATTTGGG